ACATAAAAACAACACAAAAAATTGTCATCATTTAAAAAGTTTGTGCAGAACATTGTAAGTTCCATATCCCCTGTAACAGTATGCTGACCCATGAGCAGAAGCCCAAATTACCAGCGTTACTTTGAGACTAATGACTACTGTCCAAAGCTGCAGTAAATATTTTACACTTTCTGTGTTTTGTTCCTTTGGTGTGCTTTTTGCCTCGCTGTGACCCCGTGTGCTGCCTGTCACAGAGCACCAGAAGCATCTGTCTGCCCTCTCTCCGCTACAGTCAAAGGGAATGCCTGATATGAGCTCTGCCTTCTCCCTGGCCACCCACGCACATTCACTGCCTCACAGCTGTGAACTCGCACACACACTCGCTTCATTGTTTGGCTCTGGTTGTATGTGGCGATGGGGAGAGATTTAGTATGCGAACATACGGGCAGGTTTGTAATCAAGTTTGGGTGTGAACTGAAAGGGCATTTAACAGTGTGCGCCAATGTTTATTAAAGAGCGACTAAACACCTGTGTCCAGCCTTACTCCGCCCACATGAACATTTGAACATGTTCTTAAACCTCCTAAGACCCGAGCACTTTTTTGCAATGCATTTTTTATTTATCTTGGCTAATTGGGCATATTGGGGTCAGATAAGAATATATACTAAGCATCATCTCTTGACATGATGTAAATTTTGAGAAAAATGCTGTCCACATATGTGGACGCTCGGTCTGAATTTCCATAAAAAAGGCAATTAAGTAACGACTGTGTAATAAAGTGCAAAACGCTTTATTTTGACACAAACATTTGATTAATGAACAATATTGAACGAGGAACATGTTCAAACATATCAAACACAGCAAAAGGAGTACTCTGATGATCCTGGGAGCTATGTTGTCTGGGGATTCATGCCCCTGGTAGGGTCTCCCATGGCAGACAGGTCTCAGGTGACGAGTCAGACAAAGTGCAGTACAAAGCCAACATAGATAGCATGATATTAAGAACCGTGACGTCGCCCGTCATGGCACAGGGGTTGCAGAGGCAAAAACCCGGGACTGGGAGGAGTTCGGAGAGTCCATGGATTATGACTATTGGTCGGCCTTGAAGATATTCTGGCAAACCGTCCGGCACCTCAGGAGGGGGAAGCAGTTCTTTGCCAACACCGTGTACGGTGCGGGTGGAGAGCTGCTGACCTCCACTGGGGATCTTGTCGGGCGGTGGAAGTAATACTTTGAGGTTCTCCTCAATCCCCCCGTCACGTCCTCCAGAACGGAGGCAGAGGCTGAGGATGTTGGGGCAGATACCTCCATCTCCCTGGCAGAGGTCACAAGGTGGTTGGCAGCCTCCATAGTGGCGAGGCTCTGGGAGTGGATGAGATCCGCCAAGACTATCTAAAGTCTATTGTAGGACTGTCTTGGCTGACATGTCTCTGCAACATCGCGAGGCGATCGTGGGCAGAGCCGGGGTGGTGGTCCCTCTCTACAAGAAGGGGGACCAGAGGGTGTGTTCCAATTATCGTGGGATCACACTCCTCAGCCTCCCCGGTAAGGTCCACTCCAAGGTACTGGAGAGGAGGCTACGGCCGATGGTCGAATCTCGGATTCAGGAGGAGCAGTGTGGTTTTCGTCCCGGCCACGGAACACTGGACCAGCTCTATACTCTTCATCGGTTCATTGGGGGTTCATGGGAGTTCGCCCAACCGGTCCACATGTGCTTTGTGGATTTGGAGAAGGTGTTCGACCGTGTTCTCCGGGATGTCCTTTGGGGGGTTCTCCAGGAGTACGGGGTATTCTGCTGAGGGCCATACGGGTATGACTGGAGCCAGAGCTGCGTTTGCATCAGCAGTAAGTCAGACCATGTTGGCCTCCGCCAGGGCTGCCCTTTGTCACCGGTTCTATTCACTGTGTTTATGGACAGAATTTCTAGACGCAGGAGGGGGTCCGGTTTGGGGACCACAGAATTTCATCTCTGCTTTTTGCAGACGATGTTGTCCTGTTGGCTCCGAGGTGCCTTGCCCTCTCCAGGTGGGTGGAGAGGTCCTTCCTCAAGTGGAGGAGTTCAAGTATCTCGGGGTCTTGTTCACGAGTGAGGGAAGGATGGAGCGTGAGATTGACAGGCGGATCGGTGCAGTGATGCGGTCGCAGTGAAGAGGGAGCTGAGCCGAAAGGCAAAGCTCTCAATTTTCCGGTCAATCTTCGTTCCCTCCCTCACTTATGGTCATGAGCTTTGGGTAATGACCGAAAGAACAAGATCGCGGATACAAGCGGTTGAAATGAGCTTCCTCCGCGGAGTGGCTGCTCCCTTAGTCCCTAAGGTGCGTCTGCGTAGGTTTCCTCCGGGTGCTCCGGTTTCCCCTACCACTAAAAATATGTACAATAGGTCTGGCATGTGCCTCCTGAACTGGCGAGCCCGCTCCCAAAAATAACAATTGTAAACCGCTTTGAGACTCCGATGTGCAGTGAAAAGGCGGTATATAAATAAAGATTACTACTTACTACTACTACTTAGAGATAGGGTGAGGAGCTCAGTCACACGGGAGGAGCTCGGAGTAGAGCCGATGCTTCTCCATGTCGTGAGGAACCAGTTGAGGTAGCTCGGGCATCTGTTCCGGATGCCTCCTGGACGCCTCCCTGGGGAGGTATTCCGGGCACGTCTCACCAGGATGTGTCTCTCAGCTGGCCTGGGAATGCATTGGGCTCCCCCCTGACAAACTGGAGTTAGTGTGTGTGGATAGGGCATCTCTGCGACCCGGCAATCTTTATTCTTTATTTATTTATATAACGCCTTTCACAGACCAGAGTCACAAAGCGGTTAACAATTGTTATTTTTGGGCATTTGTCTCTCACTCCACACAGAGATGGGAGCGGGGTCGCCGAACAGGAGGCGCATGCTAGACCTATTGTACATATTTTAAGTGGTAGGGGAAACCGGAGTACCCGGAGGAAACCTACGCAGACATGGGGAGAACATGCAAACCCCACTCAGAAAGGCCCTGGCCCGACCGGGATTCGAACCCAGGACCTTCTAACGGCAACGGATGAAGCGGAAGAAAATAGAACGATGGATGGATTTAACTCATAGGAAATAGACTAAATCAAAGAGCAAGTAAGCACTGATTTTGGAATTATATAGTATGCTGGAAGCACACTGGCTTGATTCAACAGGTGGCCCTTTTAGTTGATGGTGACATAGACAAACTTGACAATAATAGCAAAAAATTCCATCGAACACAGGTGCATTCCACATGCGATTAGAACAATTTTCAACAAAACTAAGTCCTTCTGTCCACATATGTGGACATCATGTTTAGCGGTCCAGACAATTGTTTTTAAATTGTAATTATTGCAAAATGTACTTGCCATGACAAACTTACATCACTTATAAAACTATCTGAACTAGAATACTCTTTGAAATCTGATTGGAATTTTTACTTGGTGGATTTTTTGGTTGGGAACCTGCATGTGAACTTTCCTGTGCACGGTCAGCCATTTTGTTTTGTGTTAACTTGTGCTGTAATTCCTCCAACACTGCTAGAGGGCAGTGTAGGTATTGCTGTACAGTAGGTCCCATTTCGTTTTGTCACCTTTTACGCGTGAATAGCACGAGGCTCACGCGCGAATCACGTGTCTTTTCTTTTTTTCCCCCCCAGTGACGCGGCAATGACCAAAACAACCACCAGGTGGCACTTGTGAGCAGGGTTACATTGGCGTCTCATCGCTCTTTCTTCTCTCTTCACCGGACAACTATCTGTGGCTTTAAGCCTAGCGTACTGTACATCGGACTGGCAACTGATTATATCCGTCGCCTATGAGTTTCTGCCCCGCGCACATCGACAATCTGGTTAAAACGGGCAACTCCTTGTAGCAGGCCAGTCTCTAGAATAACCCGTAGACATTAAAACTACTGCATATAACGTAAACTTTTGCATCACGTTGGTGATCTTTCCAAAAAGAGAGAATATCGTTATGGAAAGAGAAACTATTGGTAATATAACGCTGAACGTTATCTGACTCAAACAGCTCCGCTGGTGTCTCCTCCCACTCAGAAAAAAAGCAGACGCCTTTTCTCTGGCATCTCTAACATTTATAATAAATACATAAATATAACAATCATAATGAAGATGCTTTCAAATAATTTAGCAAGCTGTAATTCATTTATTTTAACTCCCTGCCAAACTTCTCTCGCTGCTCTCTCCTCCGCAAACCACTAAATGAGGAAAAGGGAATATTCACTCAATCTATTTTGAATGTTACACATACAATATTAATATAGTCTAAGCACGTGTAACACTAGCCCGTGTATTTACCACAGACTGTAAGTATTAAAGTAATGAGGCCCCTGCTTTAGGCCTCTGCTGTGAGGCCCATACCGTCATCAGTCTCGGTGCCTCTGTGTAGATCACACGTCTGTCCTCGGGCTGGAGTGTTCTGAGGCTTTAAGCGGGGAGTCAGGAAGGAGCGATCCTGTTTGTCAGCATGATTTTTTTGTTTAACAGCCTCCCTGCGCGATTGCAAATGTACTCAAGGGACTCCCATACCGTGGCTCACATATATAATATTATATAGGGATCAGGAGCTTTCTGACCCGACCCACCCGCACCTTACATGACTCATATTTTTGAGGCATCCAACCCGCCCGAAACCGCGGGACCCGCGGGTTGACTGCGGGTTTCGGGCCGACCCGCGCATCTCGCATGTCCTGTTCAGGGCTGCAGGAGCAATTGTCCATTATTTTAATTGGACTTCTGGTCCATGCACACTGTAAAAAAGAAAAAGTTAGTTCAACTCAAAATTTCAAAGCAACCAGCTGCGAAGGATTTTTGAGTTGAAGGCATTAACTTAATTCTTCAAGTTTTGAAGAACTACACTTATTAAGTTGTGTCAGTTAAGTTCTCCAAGTTCTGCCAACTAAGTGTTTAAATTCAAGTTACTGGAAATTTCATGTTAAAGCTGCGTAGGAACTGAACTGTATTGAACTAGATTGACCACAGGAATGTCGAAAATCCAGTTCTTCCTCACATATGCAAAACATCTTATCTCGTGATTGGGACGGGACCGGGAAAAAAACACAGGGAGTGGGCGGTAGGGGGAGGGAGGTGTGTGTAGAAAATCAAGTCAGTGAGCTCATCAGGACTCTGCGTAAGAAAGGCTGGACGACTAGCACTATCGCCAAACACTTGGCCACAACTGTTTGGCTGACAATGCTCTCAAAACATTCACAACAGAGTATCCTTTTTCATTTTATTTTTAAGAAAGTTCAGCATGAACTTCTTGAGGTGGCCCGTAGGTCCCAGAGGAGGAGAGCGCAGTCAGGCCAGGCTCGCCTCGCACATCTCAATTAAAGCTGCTTTCAATATCTTTTCAAATCTGTTTTCCTTTTCTCCATAGCATGTCTGTAACAAAAGTTCTCATAATCTGAAGTCAGCGTATTTACATGGTTTTATGAAACAGAATTCTGAGAAAAACAGGTTTAAAGATCGAGATTCTAAACATAATCATCACAGTCACATATAACATGTAAATTTGAATTACTCTGTTATGGCACACTTGTTTTAGTCACTATGTTGTAGAAGATTAAAAAGATGTTACTTTGGCACCAATTAAACACACAACACTCATGAATTAGTCGAAAATCAAGAATGTATTGATTCTTTCAATATTCAATGGATTGAATTTTGACCTCCTCTTCTTTTTCTTTCTCTTTATAATTTACTGAAAATTAGATATGTATTAGACATTGCCAGTATTATTCTATCAAATCACGCAGTCTAAATTTCCACAACCACCAAGCATTTTTAATGCAAGGAGAAACTTAGGTAACTTTAAACACAAATAAAACAAATGGACCTGTCCGACTCGAGTGTCTATGCTTTGTGTGTCTCTGGTTCTGTCCAAGTGTCTATGATCCGCGTGTCTCGCGTGTCTCCGCCTGTCTGGGTTCTGTCTGCGTATATGTAAATGTAAATGTAAATGTCTGTCTGTGGTTCTGTTCGGGTGTCTATGGTCCTGTCTGTGGTTCTGTTCGCGTGTCTATGGTCCGCGCTCGGAGCCCAGACGGCAGTGCGTTCACTGAGCTGTCAGAACGGGGGTCACAGCAGCTGCTCCCGGGGCCAGAGCGGAGGATGTAACGTAACGTTCGGTTTATCAAAACATATCACAATATTTAACGTATAACACTAGTGAATTTCACCTAGATTTTTTCAGACATTAAAGACAAGATGTTATATAATAATTGTTTAATGAAAAAACAATTTTGCCAAAAAAATGACAATCGACCTATTTTTACTGTTTACTCGGAACGTGCCAGTGTGACATCCGACGGGTTTTCCTAGATCGCATCACATATATACGTTAATGCAATTTAATTATAAAGATTAACATTAGTACAAAATATGTATATGTTGTCTGTTATGCTCTTACTTTGAAAAAGCATGCAATAGCAACACATATACATTCACATGCACGGCTTGAACACACAGCCAATTTTACACATTTCCTTTTCCTTCCTAGGGGCGGCACGGTGGCTGAGTGGATAGCACTCTCGCCTCTCAGCAAGAAGGTCCTGGGTTCGAATCCTGGCCGGACCAGGGCCTTTCTGAGTGGAGTTTGCATGTTCTCCCCGTGTCTGCGTAGGTTCCCTCCGGGTACTCCGGTTTCCCCTACCACTAAAAACATGCACAATAGGTCTGGCATGCGCCTCCTGTACTGGCGACCCCGCTCCCATCTCTGTGTGGAGTGAGAGGACCAATGCCCAAAAATAATAACAATTGTAAACCGCTTTGTGACTCTGGTCTGTGAAAGGCGGTATATAAATAAAGATTACTTACTTACTTACTTACTTTTGACAAGGAAAGAAGATAACAATCTGATAACGTTACGTAATTGCACACAAGCAACCAAAAGATGTGCAACCAAAATTGCCTCAGACAAGAATCAAACCTGGGTTCTCCAAGTCCCAGTCTTCAATGCTAACCATTCGGCCAACATAGCATTAGTGGGCTAGACAGGTTTGCACGCAGTATCATACCTGAGCGTCTAAGTCGCTGGCAGAGCTAAAGCGGACTTAACCTGCCACCTTGTGGCGATAAGATGTAATATTTTTCACGCAGCTGCGTGATTCCCGAAAAGCGTGAATGAAGACGACAAAACGAAATGGGACCTACTGTATGTGGACCCCAGGCCCCAATAAATCAGGATGAAGTATTATGTTTGTACAGCCCAAAATGTGATGTCCACACATGTGGACGGCAGGTCTTAGGAGGCTAAAAAGGGCGTTGCCTGGAGGACCAAGGGACAAGAAGGGGGGGTGGGAGTTGGGCGTGGTCTGCGCTGTGATTGACAGCTCACCCGTCACATAAAAAAAAAAAACAGACAGTTGTCATTGCTGTTTAAATCAATAGTTTACACACCAGAAAGTCTCATTCCACCCTTGTTTACACACTAAGATCATTGTAGAGCTAACCTGAACCTAATCCACAGAATTATCTCAGCAGCAGTGGTTGTCAACTCATGTAATTTAATCATAATCCACTAGATGTCGCCAGAATACTCCAACCTGCTACCGGGGCATGTGTGAATGGGTT